TTAAATAATCTAATAAGAATCTATTGGAACTATTTCGCCTATTGTTCTAGTACTATTATTATCTTTCAAACTGCACTCTCGAATGGTGCTATAAGATTTTTTCTTCAAGAGTTACAACCACTTTAACTGCCGTGTCCTCCAATCTAACATCGCCAAACCAAGCATATGCTTTCTAAGTCATTACGTCATCTTCCAGTGGCCATAGTTTCATAAGAAAAAAGAACCACTCGAAGGCGCATTTTGAAGGGTAAGAATAGAACTAAATAGCATAGGTCAAGGAAAAGAAGCCATCAAAGCCGTTTTTCGTGTACTTAACCGCAAAAAAACTCAACATCTTGGCGCAGTTTTAAGATCGAACTCGAGTTCTACGCAAAAAAATGCTTCTGAAACGGCCTGCAGCTGCAAAACATCAGAAACTTTAAAGTCTGCATTAATAATTACCATGTTCTTAATTTCTTTGAATTACATCTCACATCGCAAGACTACTGAATTCATGCTACTTAGTGTATATGAAACACTAAACACCATTTAAAAATCTAATTATAATCTTACGGCTGTATGTATGTATATCGCACAGGTACGTAACAGTATTTTTCTGTAACGTAACGGTCCCACTATTTTTTGTAAATATTGACCTCAAAATTAATTTTATCAGTTCAATTAATACGTAGTTCTTGAGTTTCATCCTTTAGCTAAGAAACTGTGTACCAACTTTTGAAAACAATATACTAGGAGAGCAGACTTTTTCAATAATATAAAGCAACGTTAAAAAGTACTTCCAAACAACAGGAGTTACAATATATCTTAAGTATATGTTAAATATGTGCCATTANCAAACAACAGGAGTTACAATATATCTTAAGTATATGTTAAATAATGGCACATACTTATGCTTTCAGATGCAAGAAGAAAAACTATCAGAAATTGTATTCTGGCGAGTTTCAGCGGTATTTTAAAAGCAGTGTGAGCCAAAATGTAATCTAACAGTCCGCGTTTTGGGCCATATCAACTTAAAGAAAGTTTCCAAAATATAAAAAAATTCGAATATCCTTCGACGTCATTTCCCTATTTACAAACATCCCCATACATTTAACTATACAGACTATTATGAAAAAGTGGAGCAATTTGGAGAGCCACACCAAGATATCAAAGAAGCAGTTCCAGATGATACTCGGATTTCGTTTACTTGACAATAACTATTTTAGATACAACAACACGTTTTACCAACAAATTTATGGCACGCCTACGGGGAATCCATTGTCACCAACATANTTAACTATACAGACTATTATGAAAAAGTGGAGCAATTTGGAGAGCCACACCAAGATATCAAAGAAGCAGTTCCAGATGATACTCGGATTTCGTTTACTTGACAATAACTATTTTAGATACAACAACACGTTTTACCAACAAATTTATGGCACGCCTACGGGGAATCCATTGTCACCAACAATTGTAGATATTGTTCTAACTCAAGAATGATAGAATACAAGATTGCGCCGTCCTGAGCGTTGACATTTGTGTACCACAAGTAAACAAAGAATAGAGCGAAAGAAGAACGAATTAAAACTGCCAAAACAGTTCACCTTACAGCGAAAAACGTGTTTTAATTTTGCTAAATGCGAAAATATTGAATTTTTACCTAATCTATTAGAGAATAGGTAAAATTTTAGTGCACTCCATTGCCTTGCAATTGGGGCTGCTTCAGCAAACGTTTTAGTGCACTCCGTTGCTTTGCAATTAAGGCTGCTGCAGAAAACTGCGGCAGCATCTCAGCGGGATTGATTAGTTAACTTGCTAATGGAGGCTGCTTGGAGCAGAAGCAAAATCATTGTGAGGAAATGCTGTCAATGTAATAATGAAGAAACATTTCGGGAACGGCTTTGCCGTGCCCTATGTACACAAAATGCAGCGATTCGTCCCAGCGCTACATTTGCATCTACGCATCTTGCATCTTGATGGCTGTCGCAATTTAACACACAGCACTTCATTTTATTAGTTTTTACGCAGTCTTCAACTCAAAAATCACTCACAAATTGCAAATTAACACAATTTAAACTGATTTTTAACTTCTAATTCATATTTCTCTTTCGCTGATGTTTAGGCGCGTCTGCTAACACCATACGCCTAAATACATGCTATGTACGCTGCATGTGCAAAAATTTCCTTTATGCAATTTAGGAAATTTTTGCACATGCACTTCTCAACTGCCATGTAATTGAACTTTCTTAAGTTTTGATTAGATGGCACTTCAAAGTATGCTCGGCCTAGTCTGATGCATCCTCTGGACACTGCTTCCGGAGCATTTTGCGGACTCTGCATGGCTTACAACCATGCAGAGGTGGTAAACGAACTTTACCATTGGCCACAGTGCCTACCCACCATTTTTGAACCAATAAATATTTTTTTTTGTTATATAAATACATGCATGCAAACATACTGGTCTCCCCTCTCACTGAGTTATTCATGGTCCTTCGAGCCGGATATTTGCGGCTTTTGTTATATCCACTAGACGACCAAGTCGTCTAGGGGGGCCGGTATATTTAGGCGCGTCTGCTAACACCAGGCGCCTAAATACATGCTATGTACGCTGCATGTGCCAAAATTTGCTTTATGCAATTTAGGAAATTTTTGCACATGCACTTCTCAACTGCCATGTAATTGAACTTTCTTAAGTTTTGATTAGATGGCACTTCAAAGTATGCTCGGCCTAGTCTGATGCATCCTCTGGACACTGCTTCCGGAGCATTTTGCGGACTCTGCATGGCTTACAACCATGCAGAGGCGGTAAACGAACTCTACCATTGGCCACAGTGCCTACCCACCATTTTTGAACCAATAAATATTTTTTTTATATAAATACATGCATGCAAATTTGTAAACAAAGGTTTATTTACAAGTTACCACAACTGTCAAAATGGCAAAACCAAAGTAGCGGTACCACTGACGGCGCCACCTTTGTTCGCTGCACCGTGGTTCTAACTAGACAAAATACTTGACGACAGCCTGGCTGAATTAAAGCAGCAAAATATACAATCAAATACATAACAAAATATGTAGACGATCTATTTGCAATAGTAAACTCAAATGACATGGAAGATACTATGTTAAAATCCCTAAATGCATACACCATAAAAATAAGAATCACAGGCAGAAGTAGTATAAAATTCAATTGGTACACAGAGTTCTTTGCGTCGGGTAGGATAATAAACTACCATTCAAATCATCCGCGTTATCATTATTTGGAGCTGTAACCGCTTAAGCGATTTTGGCCGAGTTCAACAAAGCACGCCAGTAGTTTCTCTTCTCTGCCAACTGACGCCAATTGGAAATGCCAAGTGAAGCCAAGTCCTTCTCCACTTGGTCTTTCCATCGCAGTGGGGGCCTCCCTCCTCCTCTGCTACCACCAGCGGTTTCCGAGTTGAATATTTTCGGAGCGGAGCGTCAGAGACCATTCGAACGACATGGCCAGGCCAGAGGAGCCGGCTTCGCTGCACTATGTCTATGTTGTTGTAAAGCTCATACAGCTTATCATTCTATCGTCTGCGGTACTCTCCGTCGCCAATGCGTAAAGGCCCGTAAATCTTCTGCAAAATCTTTCTCTCGAATACTCCAAAAGCCGCCTCATCGGATGTTGTCATTGTCCATGCTTCTGCGTCATATACAAACACGGGCATGATGAGTGACTTTTAGAGAGTGGTTTTCGTACGTCGAGAGAGGACTTTACTCCCTAATTTCCTACTCAATCCAAAGTAGCACTTGTTGGCAGGAGTGCAATTGCACGCTCTTGTGAAAAATTGATCCTGAGCGGTTCAGTTCTGCACCTCTTATTATCTTCTCCAACATCAGATTAAAGAAATCAGATGAAAGAGAGTAACCCTCTCTGAAACTGAAAGCAAACGGCTCGGAGAGGTCTTTCCCAATTCTGACGGAGCTGGTGATATTACTCAACGTCATTTTACACAACCGTATCAGTTTCGAGGGGATACTAAATTCAGAAATCGCGGAGTATAGGCAACTCCTTTTAGTGCTATCGAAAGTGGCTTTAAAGCCGACAAAAAGGTGGTGAGTGTCGATACTTTTCTCGCGGGTCTTTTCCAAGATATGGCGCATTGTGAACACCTGGTCTACGGTGGATTTTCCAGATCTAAAGCCATACTGATAAGGCCCAATCACTTCGTTGACGGTGGGCTTCAGTCTTTCGCACAATACGGTGCGTTCATTTGACCATATTCTACATAAGAGTTGATACATGCGCCTTATCAACTCCTCGCCACGGTACTTGAATAGCTCAGCTGGCAGGTTGTCAGCTCCAGCAGCTTTGTTGCTTTTCAAGCGCGCTGTTGCTATTCGTACCCCGTCATAGTCAGGTGGTGGTACATCGACTCCATCATCATCGACTGAGGCTCGGGTTCGTCTTCTCTACAGCTTTCAGCGCCACTACCATTCAGTAGGGTGAAGTGTTCCCTCCATAATTTAAGTACGTTCTGGTCATCTGTCACTAGGTCGCAATTGTTGTTCTTACAAGAGTTTGCCCTGGTCTTAAAACCTCCCGTAAGTTGGCTAACTCTATGGTAAAATTTGCGGGCGTTTTTCCTGTCGGCCAGCATTTCAAGCTCTTCTCACTCACATATTTCGGCCTCTTTTCTTATTGCGGCAAATACGTCTCGCGTCCCTTTTCAGCTCCCTATAATGGTCCCACGTGGCTCTTGTTGCGCCCGATCGCAGCTTGGCCCTGAAGGCGGCATCTTTTTTCTCTGCAGCTTCTTGACACTCCTCATCGTATCAGTTGTTCTTTCGGGCTCGCTGAAATCCGACTACTTCTTTGGCGGCGGTACTTAATGAACGTTGCTCGCATATGTCGGTTTGTTGAAGAGTGCTCTCTGAGAGCAGGTGTGAGAGTCGAGTAGCATTGGCCGTCTGTTGTGACCAGTGCTGCCGCTACTACTTCAATCGAGGTATTTTGCTTCATTTTCACAAAATTTACTTCGTCAGTCCTTCCAAAAATCTGCTTCACTTTTTGTTCTGCTTCAAATTTTAAAATTTGTTCCCTATATTACCTAATTGTTTTTCCTATTCCCTTAATTACGATGAAAATAGTGGTTTTAATCACTGAACATATGCAAACGCTATTTTTCATCGCTGGAATGGCAACCCTTTATTTTTGCTTTGTAAAAGTGTCATTGCGTGAACTGTCAAATTGTTGTGAGTTAATAACGTATGGACATGTGATGTGCAAGATGAATCGGTAAGTAGTGCAATAAATTCCATAAAAAATATAAATATATTATTAATTATAAATTCTTTAATATCTTTAGCAAAGGAATACGCTCACCGACGAAGAACAGGTTAATAAGTAGGTATGTATGTTTATTTTAATCTAACTTTGCAAACAAGTATTTCTGCATGGTGCGTTTCAATTTGTAATGTGAAAGAATAACTTAAAATTCAACTTTCTTTTTCAGCTATTTCCAAAAGGAGCTACCTGCACAAAATTCAGATCCAGAAAATGAAGGGTTAGTATATCATTGAACAAATTTATTTGTGTTTTATACATATAAAAAAGCACATGAAAATCAAAATGGCGGCTATATCAAGTTTTGTCAATTGACTTTTACAGTGGCAGATGCAGATCATCTTCAAGTGATTCGTCTCCTCAAAAAGAAAGGACTTGTCTAGACAATTGGTAAATTTTGTTATCAAACATTTTCTCCGATTTTTAATAAAAGATATACATATGTACATATGTAACTGTTACAGTATTTCTTCTTCGGAATCTGACGACCATGAGCCTGCAGCGACTTTTCCATCACGACAAAAAAAATATAAACAACATTTCAGAGAGGAATGGAAGCGTGATTTAAGTTGGCTAGATAACATCAAAGGCAAAGCATTTTGCAAAATTGGCCAAAAATATCTCTCTAACAATAAAACAAATATTGAAAGACATGGCTATGGTGAGTCACATAAAAAAAATGAATGCACATTGAAGCAGCAGCCGAAAATAAACCAAAATAAAAAAGTGCAAGCATTTGAATCGAAAATTCGAAAAATAAAAATTGCGGAGCTGAAAATAATATTATTTTTGTGTGTTCACAATTTACCTTTTGCACTGATTACACCATTAATTGGTCTTATTAAGAGTGTTGCCAGAAACGATGAAATAGTGAAAGAAATAAAGTGTGGTAGAACCAAAGCAGCAGAGACAATTAATGGTGTATTGGCTGAAAATTTTATGGAAGATATGGCTAATTGTTTAAGACACAATAAGTTTTCGCTTATTATAGACGAATCTACTGACATAAGTACCTCAAAATGCCTAGGAGTAGTTGCTCGTTATTTTGATCAACAAAATGGCAAAATTCGAGACCGTTTTCTAAGACTGATTGAAGTACAAAAATGTGATGCATGATCATTATTTGAGGCGCTAAAAAAATTGTTTATTGATTTGAAAATACCATTTGAAAATGTTGTTGGATTTGCCGCCGATAATGCCGCTGTAATGATGGGTGGCGTTTCAGGTGTTAAAACCTTATTAAAAGAATGGAACCCCAATCTTTATGTGATTGGCTGCATTTGCCATTCAATGCACCTATGTTCTTCAACAGCCACGAAAACCATACCTCCAGAAATAGAACCATTAGTAAGAAACATTTATTATTTTTTTGCACATAGTAGTAAGAGGCAAGTGGAATTTCAAGAATTTCAAGATTACTTTGACTTAAAAAAGCATAAGATTTTAAAAAGAGCTGACACTAGATGGCTTAGTTTGGAACACGCCATAGTAAGAGTGTTAGAACAATGGCCAGCTCTTCAAACTTATTTGGCTAGCGCTGCTTTTGAGGAAAATAATGACATTGCTAAACAAATCTTAGAACAAATGACACCGTTAAATAAATGCTATTTGCTGTTTTTAAGCAGCAGTCTAAAAAACGTAAATAAAATAAATTTAGAGTTTCAGGCAACAGAACCACGCTTCCATCAGCTCTTAAAAACATTAAAATTGTATTTAAAAAGTATTTTAAACAATTTCATGCACATAAACCTATTAAATTTTGAATCATTAACTGAAGATACTATAGAAGATAGTACAATGTACAAAAAACTTGAAGATCTCTATCTTGGAGCACAAACTGAAATGTTTATTCTAGGAGGCACTTTAACCGCGGAAGAGATTTACTCTATGCAAAAAAATTGTTTACGTTTTTACATTTCGCTAAGCAAGCAAATTTTAAGGACCCAGTTTTGAAAGCACTACAAATAATTGATCCATTATCGTTAGGGCCAAGCCTTGTGCCACTTATTAATATATTCCCTAATCTCGTTGGAAATATGAACATTGAAGATATTAATGAAGAATGGAGACTTTTATTATTACATGCATTTTCCGAGGAAGAGATGACTCTTGAAATGTTTTGGCAAAATGTTTTTAAAGTAAAAAATAGTTTAGGAGAGCACATGTATCCACATTTGCGGCAATTTATAAGTTCTTTACTTTGCTTGCCTCATAGCAGTGCTTCCACGGAGCGTGTATTCTCCCAAATGAAATTAAATAAAACGGCTATCCGAAATTGTCTTAACGTAGAAACAGTGAGTTCTATACTTCTAATTAATAATATCAGAATTTGAATTTGAAAACTGGGTTCCACCCAAAGAAATCATAAATAAATACCAAAAAATTAAGACCAATTAAAATTTAAAATTATTTTAACATATTTGTATACATATATGTACTTATCATAGTAACGAAATGTGATTTGTATTATTATTTGTATGTTTATTTTATTATATGTATCTATATTTAAAATGAAATGCCATTTTTTTTGTTTTTCTTATTAAATAAAATGAATTATATTGTTTTGTTTTCAAAAATGTATACTACTTCAATTTTATTCAATCTACTCCACTTTTTTCCAAAATCTACTTCACTCAATTTTTCTCTAGCGGCAACACTGGTTGTGACTGCAGCTTTTCGACGTTAAGCTTTCCTTGCATTTTTGGCGGACATTTTTTGCTACACAGAGGCGAGTGCGTATCTTCGCTGCAACAAGAAAATGGGCCTCGGAGTGTACGTACGTCTAAAACACTGGAAGCATGCCTTCCGTCAATCACAACATGATTAATTTGGTTTCTCGTTTTTCGATCTGGATACAGCCACTTAGCTTGATGGATCTTTTTATACTTGAACAGTACTGCATACTACCATGTTTCGGGCCCCGGCGAAGTAACGAAATAACGCATATGACAAAAACGAAGTAATGCCTACATGCACAGTTTCGATTCAAAACCGAAATAATGTATATGACAAAAACCGAAGTAATGCATACATGGACAGTTTCATCTCAAAACTGAAATAATGCTTATGACAAAAACCGAAATAGTGCATACATGAAAACGAACTTCTTTCTACGTAGGCGCCCTTCGGCCGCGCTTAGGGATTATAACCCTTACCAATTAGAATTTTCCTTTCTGTGTTGCCGGGAAAGACGGAAGTATTTTTGCGCAGAACTTTTTTCTACGTAGGCGGCTTTCGGTCGCGCTTAGGGATTATAGACCTTACTAAAACGAGCTCTCCTTTCTGTGTTGCCGGAAACGAAAGGCGGAAGTATTTTTGCGCAGAACTTCTTTCTGAGTAGGCGCCCCTCGGCCTCGCTTAGGGAGTATAACCTTTACTAAGTAGAATTCCCCTTTCTGTGGGGGACCGGAAGGATTTTTGCGCAGAACTTCTTTCTGCGTAGGCGGCCTTCGGCCGCGCTTAGTGATTATAACCCTTACTAAGTAGAACTCCTCTTTCTGTGTTGAAGGAAAAGAAGGGCGGAAGTATTTTTGCGCATAACTTCTCTGTTGCCGGAAAAGGGGACCGGAAGTATTTTTGCGCAGAACTTCTTTCTGAGTAGGCGACCCTCGGCCTCGCTTAGGGAGTATAACCTTTACTAAGTAGAATTCCCCTTTCTGTGGGGGACCGGAAGTATTTTTGCGCAGAACTTCTTTCTGCGTAGGCGGCCTTCGGCCGCGCTTAGGGATTATAATCCTTACTAAGTAGAACTCTCCTTTCCGTGTTGCCGGAAAAGGGGACCGGAAGTATTTTTGCGCAGAACTTTCTGCGTAGGCGGCTTTCGGCCGCGCTTAGTGATTATAACCCTTACTAAGTAGAACTCCTCTTTCTGTGTTGCCGGAAAAGAACGGCGGAAGTATTTTTGCGCAGAACTTCTCTTTGCGTAGGCGGCCTTCGGCCGCGCCTAGGGATTAAAACCCTTACTAAGTAGAAGTAAATAACAGGGACCGAAAATAATCGTTATCATGAAGGATTTTTATTTAAAAATCATTGTATAATCGTTATTTTATGATTTATATTTTTTTCAATCAAAAATAATCGTTATTCTTTGATTTTTATTTTTTCAATCATTTTTAATCGTTATTTTATGATTTTTATATTTTCGATCAAAAATAATCGTTATTTTATGATTTTATTTTTTCGATCATTTTTAATCGTTGCTTTATGATTTTTATTTTTTTGATCATTTTTAATCGTTATACTATGATTTTTATTTTTTCGATAATTTTTAATCGTTAATTTATGATTTTTATTTTTTTGAGCATTTTTAATCGTTATGCTATGATTTTTATTTTTTCGATCATTTTTAATCGTTAAACTATGATTTTCATTTTTCCCTTCAAAAATAGAAGTTAATATAATAATAATAACAATAGTTTGGCGCTTACACATATGTTAGTGTTTGGCCGAGCTTCTCCTCCAAATTGTGGCGTGCGCCTTGATGTTGTCACACAAAGCGGAGGGACCTACAGTTTTACGCCGACTCCGAACGGCAATTGTATTTTAATGAGAAGCAGTTTTTCATGGCAGAAATACAAAAATAAGTTATTCTTAGTTTTTTAATGTGTAAACTGAATGTGCACAGATTTGAAAAAAAAAGTTTTACAAGGCATGCTTAAGTACACAGTAAAGTCGGAATTGCAATGCTCTCACCCCCTAGGATTGTTCTATATCGAAAAAATATCCCGCAATTTTTATACCTTTCATGAGCATGAAATGGTATTATAACTTTGGTCCGATGTGTGTAAGTACTACAATTAGAAGAGATAGACCCATTGAAATGTATACTTAAATGATCAGAACGTCGAGCATTTAGCCATGTCCATCTGTCCGTCTGTTTTTATGAATCTAGTCTCTCAGTTTTCGAGATATCCGGATGAGATTTGTTAGTTGGGTGTATTTTTATAATGCACTAATCATTTGTCGGAACCGGAAGAATCGGGCCACTTTAACATATAGCTCCCATACAACTGATTCTTCAGATATGAGATTTTTCGCTATAACTCCTTCATTTAAGCAGTTAGGAACATGCAATTTTGCAATACTTCCGCCCATTATCAACAGAATACTTACAGTGAAAATTACAAAGATCGGTCGCTATAATCTATAGCGCCCATACAACTGATTGTTCCTTTATAAGTTTTTCGTTATAACTCCTCCATTTATGTAGATGCGCGCATGAAATTTCGCAATATTTCCACCCATTATCAAAAGAATAATTACAATAAAAATGGCGAAGATCGGGTCGCTATAACCTATAGCCTCTATACAACTGATTGTTCAGATATGAGATTTCTTTTTATAACTTCTCCATTTATGCAGCTACAAACATGAAATTTCGCAATATATTCACTCATTATCAACAGAAAGTTTACAGTGAAATCAACAAAGATCGGGTCACTATAACCTTTTTATTAACTCCATACAACTGATTGCTCAGATATGGGGTTTTACTTTGAAACTCCTTTATATGGACAGCTAAAACCCATGAATTTACACAGTCTACTGAGAAAATCTATGCTGTATAAGCTTTATCTCCTATACCACTGATTGTTCGGATACCAGTATGGGAGATATATGTTATAGTGGCCCAATTCTTCCGGTTCCGACAAATGATTAGTGCATTATAAAAATACACCCACCTAACAAATCTCATGCGGATTTCTCGAAAACTGAGAGACTAGATTGCATACAAACAGACGGGCAGACGGACATGGCTAAATCGACGAAGCTCGACGTTCTGATCAGTTAAGTATACATTTCAATGGGCCTATCTCTTCTAATTGTGGTACTTACAAAGATCGGACCAAAGCTATAATACCATTCCATGCTCATGAAAGGTATAAAAATAGGGGTATACTTTTTTCGATATAGAACAATCCTAGGGGGTGAGAGCATTACAATTCCGACTACTGTTTTTGGACCATCCTAGTGTACATATGCATGCCTTGTAAAACTGTTTTATAAGTAAAATCTGTGCACATTCGGTTTACACATTAAAAAACTAAGAATAACTGCTATTTTTGATCGAAAAAATTTAAATCATAGTATAACGATTAAAAATGACCGAAAAAATAAAAATCACAAAATAACAATTAAAATGATCGAAAAAATAAAAATCATTATATAACGATTAAAGATGATCGAAAAAATAAAAGTCACAAAAGAACGATTAAAAATGATCGAAAAAGTAAAAATCATAAAATAACGATTAAAAATGATCGAAAAAGAAAAATCATAAAGTAACGATCAAAAAT